CAAATATATCGAGTACCACTGATCAAATTTTAATGAAACTAGGTACATAGGTGATTTTAATAATCCACAAATCTGATTACTTCAGGGTTGAAATCCATGCATATTAATTAATTACCTGTTATTAGTTTCATATGTGTTTCTTAATATGCATAACTGTAAGGTAACAAATACTGTTGTAGATAGGGACATGCAACCGGTGCTTCATTTGTGTTGTCTGACAAAATATATGAGAGCATGTATTTATAATAATCTTTTATTAAACCATAGCTACTTGGAACCAATTATGATCATTGCTTGCAGTTTTATTTTTTAATACTGTATTTGCTCTATTATAAGCACATGTACTTTATGTGAATAGAAATGACAACAGGTCTATGGTCAAAATGAGACATGTTTCAATGATTTTGCATGCAATAAACCAAATATTTACTTTATGTGTATTGAAAATGTGTTTTTAATATTATAGTATTTGTACTTCATACATGTACCTCCAATGTCTTCAATGTCTTCAATACACAGGAGTTCTATCTTTCTTTTTTTTTAAATTACTGTTATACATCCATGTAATATGGAATTCATAATGTTTTGTTTTCATCGAGAATTGACAACTTCTAATTAAAATATTGTGTTCCAAATTTTAAAATAAATGTACAGTCACTTTTCATTTAAGAGTGGGGTGACCGACAATATGAATGTAATCCATATACTGAATTCTAATTTTGTTTCATTGTGGTTGTATCATAAACGTAAATGTATGAATGTTGGTGTGGATAAATGCTGTTATGAACAGCATAAGGTATACATTGGTAGCAATATCAACACTAAATCTGCCGGGTTTTTTAATCTTGATTGCTTGCAACTTTGATGGCATAATGCATCTAATTCACTCTTTTTATAGGGGTTGATTTGCAAATCTAATGCAAGTATTCAAAAGCTAGTGTATATTATAATGTTATGGAACAGCAACATTAAAATCAAGATTAGACAAAAAAAAATTCTACTAAACGCTAAGAATTCACACATTTTTAAATTCATATTTTATGTTATAGCATGTCACTTGTACACAACGGATCAGACAGAAAATTACATTTCTAAATATAAATTTACATAGAAACACACCAAAATTACCTCTACAGTCCTATCTCCAGTAGTATACACCCCATAACATCCATAGTCGGTAATCTCTAAAGTTGATTACAAGTTGTACTGAAATTCAGACTGTGGAAGACGTTACACCGAAGCCAATTTACATAACTGGATCTAGCTGTTGCTTCTTTTGGTTGCGTTGTTGTTCGTTTTGTATTGCCGAGTTATTTGATCTGATAGACCAAATACCTAGTGGCAGTACTGAAACGAACAGCAACAACAAATAATGCACAGCAGAAGACGCCACCAAATAAGGCTGCCATTTTGTATTGCATTCTGTACGGCATTGTGGGTAATTCGTGATGTCATAGGTCATGTGACATAATGTATCCATAATGTATCCATAACGCAGTGCGTTCGTTCTGATCCGGCAATGGACCAGCACTGGTCCAACTGCATGCTGGACCGTAACCAAAGCTCTCCAGTAATGGACCAGTATATAACGGTCCATAATGGAGGCGGACCCGATCGCTATCCATAACGCGTCGGACCAGTACTGGACAATTACTGGACCAATACTGGTCCAGTATAGAGGAATTTGCGTGTATAAAAACGATTTGCTCCCTCGCTTATTTTGGTATATGGTATATGTCTCCATTTTATGCCACAACTCAAAACAGTCTTTTTTGCTTGACGTGTTCATTTGACTTCAAGTACGTTTCAGTGGCTGTCACTGTCGCATTCTGAGTCTTGCCGATAAAATTTTGGTTCAAAATCACGTAGCTATCGCCGAGAAAATTCAAGAAATCTTTCATTTCTCAGTCAACTAACATGCCGGAAATAAAATTAACATAACAATGTGTTCGAAGGTTGTCGACATTTTATTCGACAGCTTACCACACCAGTGCCACACCACAGACAACTAGAACATTTAAACCTTTGTTGGGAAATTCACGTGCATTAAATATATGACCCCAAAAGGTCACTCATTCTGGTACTTATACATGACCCCAAGAGGTCACTCTTGCTGGTACTTATACATCACCCCATGATGTCACTCATTTGTTACTTATACACGACCCCAAGAGATCACTCATCCTGGTACCACAAGAGGTCACTATTGCTGTTACTTATACATGACCCAAAGAGGTCACTCATCCTGGTACTTATACATGACCCCAAGAGGTCACTCTTGCTGGTACTTATACATGACCTCAAGATGTCGCTCATTTTGGTACTTATACATGACCCCAAGAGGTCACTCTTGCTGGTACTTATACATGACCTCAAGATGTCGCTCATTTTGGTACTTATACATGACCCCAAGAGGTCACTCATCCAGGTTACTTATACATGACCCCAAGGGGTCATTCATTTTGCTACTTATACATGACCCCAAGAGGTCACTCATCCTGGTACTTGTACATGACCCAAAGAGGTCACCCCTTCTGGTACTTATACACGACTCCAAAATGTCACTCATTCCGGTATTTGTACATGATCCCACAATGTCACTCATCCACGTACTTGTACATGACCCCAGGAGTATATGGACATGCACATATTGGTTCTGGAGTTGTCGAAATCTGAACACATGCAAAAAAACAAACTTTCTCGTTTAGCTAATTAGCATGGAATTCTCCATGCAAACATCGTCAAGGGTTACCACGACACGGATTCTTTTTTAACATTAACACAGCAAACTCTGCTCATGACCGGAGACATCATCTTCGCGTTTGTTTTCAAAAGTTTACGTTTTTCCATCAACACGCAACTATTTCTTTCTTCTCCGATTTGACGTGTTGCGGCAGAAGATTAGCAATGAGAGACAATTATAAAAGTATCAAACCCTGTGCTATCACTGTATCTTATACGTGATTTCTCACCTGATATAGATACACAATTTCAATGAAAGTCCACTAACCCTCAATTTTATTCATATATTTTATTCATCATATCCTATTTATTCATGTGAATGCATTTTTGTGTGATGTTATTTTTATGGCCACGTGAAAAACAGCCACTACTATATTGTAGATTGTCTGACGGGATAACAATTAACAAATATCAATAGCTATATACGTAATTCTGATTTTCACACAAAATCATGCTCGGGAATGCTTTTTACAACAAAATACTTCCACGCCCCTCAAAACAATCTGATCATGTCACGTTGTTGTCCTGAGCTCCTGCGCCGTCTATATATGTGGCTATATAGATTATATAAGCACAATTACCGGTGTTTGTGTTGCATGCTGGGTAAAAATACGTAGATCAATTGTTATGCAGTATTAGCTGACAGTGAGATTACCTACCCGCACTTCTTGTTTCTTTGTACTTTGATCGAGACTCCTATTAATACATCACCAGCGTTACATCATGTATTATGTCAGGTTACCACTGACGAGACGAGTACGGCGCCCTCTACAGATTCGCGTTTGTTTTCATATGTTTACGTTTTTACATGAACACGCATCTATTTCTTTCTTCTCCGATTTGACGTGTTGCGGTAGAAGATTAGCAATGAGAGACAATTTTAAAAGTATCAAACCCTGTGCAATCACTATACCTCATTTAAGATACGAGATTTCTCTTCTGAGATAGATCCACAATTTCAATGAAAGTACTTCAACCTCTATTTTTATTCATGTATTTTATTCATTCTATCCTATTTATTCTGTAACTGTACTATATTGTAGATTGACTTGATAACAATAAACAAATATCAACAGCTATCCACGTATTTCTGATGTCACAGCAATGTGTTGTTGCAGGGGGTGCATTTATGTGAACCAGTGTTACATTAAAAAACTTTGCACACCAAATCTGATTAACATATTTAATGGTATATATGATCATATGACCTCATTAAATATGCATTCATATCATGGCACTATTGCAGATAACGAGGTTCAACCAGATCTACCATGTCTGATGGTTTTTTTGTCGTGCCACATTGCTTTCACTTGTATGGCTCAGAACAAAGACCAATTTTCTTTACTTTCTTTACAGTATGCTGTTTTAGCCCTCTCCCTGGCCATGATAGCTTTAGGTTATATAATACGCAATAAGGTACATTGTGTCAATAATGAATTTAAACTGTGGCGCAGAGTGGTATGAACTGGTGGTCTTTATTCGGATGAAAAACGAAGCATAGAGTACAAAAGTTGTATTTGGGCGTTGGCCAAACGGCCAAGTCCAGAGAGCAAACAAGTGGACCAGGTCCGATGTATATGTCCGAATCTGTCTGAGTCAATCTGCCTGCCTGTCTATCTCTAGTAACATGTCTTTGTATAAGGCAAATCCCGTGATTCAAATTGATACAACACATGACTCAAAACACATTTTATGATAAAAGTGATTCAATACACCCGCATAAGTTTCCCGAAGATACATTGAATAAAAATACAAAAGTGATTTTAGCACCTCCACATCGTGATGAAATGACGGTATAGGGTGATTTGTTGCAGGTGGCAATGTTTTACGAATTATATTATTACACGTGGTGGCATACATTGTCAGCTGCCCATATATCACATATGCGCTTGGTCACTCAAAGCTACTTCAAATTAAGGGAAGTTATGACGAAAACACTCGGTTGGTACACTGTATTCAGATTTGGTCTCCAGGTTATTGGTGGCACTTGTAATATACCAGCATCATAAACACATATACAGAGTGAAACAATCTGTATGAAGATTACAAGCTTGTCAGTCAGTACGTAAAAGTATATCTGTAATAGCAACAATTGCTGCGTCTTTAATCAAATGCAATATTTGAGATCAAAACTAGACTGTCAAAATTATTAAACTCAAATGAACTATTGCATTCACGAATGAATAGAATATATAGTACTATTCGCAACGAACCTAATTTATAAATGATCGGCCACTCCCAATCACGTGTTTTTCAAATCACTGCAATGAACTGGCTTTATTTTTGAATTTTACTCTAAAACTATCAGGAGACAAATCGTGATCCCATTTCCCAGCAATCATCATCCGGGCTGCCATATTTCCAATCTCATCAGCTGCACTAGCACCGCCTCCATTACCACCAACTGCCACTCCCAGTGTAGGTGTCACCATATCACAGTACACATGGCCAGTCGGTGTAGTTGTTATAACGCAAGAACCACCATGTGTTGACACTGGCTTCACTCCTGGTAAAACATTGAGCATGTATATTAGACAATGAATATGCATGATATGTTGACAGTTATTTTAACAAAGATAACATATATGCACAATAATCAGTATGTATGTAAATTATCTTAATTAATGTACACAATATCATATTAATCCTGTAAAATGTTGATTTGCATCGAGTTAGTAGCTGTGATGTTAGTGTCATCAAACATGCGTATTTAACTAAGTGAAACTTTTTTTACATATACTCTAATTAACATTTTTCTAAAACATGCAGGAAGTTCAACTACCTACCTTTGACGATATCAAACATCATATCTAAGAGAGGTTTATGTGCTGACGCGTGTCCCTCAGTGCGGAACCAGTCTGCTACTTCTTTCTCTGTGTTGAGTACAGTGTTGAATTTAGCACCATGTCCAATCTTTAGATAATATTTACCTGTAAACAAAATCAACTATGTAAACAATCAGAGTATCATTGGTTACAATGTATCATAGCATACTGCATAATATTGCATTATATTTTGACACTACAGACACTTCAACGCTATTGTTAATTCGACGCGGGATAGGTAGCTGTATGCTGCAGGTCTGTCATCGCCTCTGATGGCAATCTGGGCTACTTTCTCCCCCTCCTATTTAATAAAGAAGGTCACGCAGACAGCAAGCATTTTTGTTGAATTTCTTTATCTAGCTTAATGTCATTGGGATTTATGTGAATATTACCATAGAAGAAAAATGCCCTGACCCATTATTAATGTCTATTGTTGCACAGGTGCATGTTATACTCGGTTTCTGATTTCATTAGTCTATATCTAGATCAAACGTGCAGTTGAAATCACCACCCACCATGTTTATCACATGACCAGCCACAATCTTGCTGCGTGAAATAGGTTAAGATTGGTAGATTGGTGAAAATAAAATGAATACACCTACATAATTGTTACTTCTGTAAAACATGACAAACACGCTAAAACAACACTACATGTGGTTACATATGACAGCAAGATGTGAACTTTGTGAGTATACAGAAACGCATGGGTGAAACACTAATGTTTTGCTGCAACATGACAACCATTAACAATGTATGCTCCCTCCTGGAACAACCTATGTATTTACTTTATTTAACACAATCTGTAGACATGGACGATTTTACATGTTATAGGGTGGGTCTTTTATGCCAAACTGACACATGTCTCACTTCTAATCTTTTGTGATATGAGACTCGTAGCGACGTAGACAACCCGTGTGAAATGCATTATTTTTTTTACATGAAATTCGCAACGACCACCGGCCTTACGTCACTTTGCATTTCATGTTTTTGGCCAAAGTTGATACTGTGTACCGCGCTATCACTTCACTGATGACAAGATAAATTAAATTTCATTGTAATTAAGTTATTTTAACTATATAAAACTGTAATTAAATTGCATTCTATTATAAATGACTTTAATTAAATTGTATTTAAAATGTATTACAATCGAGGATTGACGATTAATTGCGTTCAATTAAATGGCAATCCATATATTGGCTTTATATTATAAAAAAGTCGAACTAAATCCTACCGTTGGGGTATTTAATTGGCGGCAACATGTAAAGATCATGTTTTCCTTCTTTTGTATATTTCCGCGCTATAGTTGGCATGTCTGTCAATCTCTTGGCATCTTCTGGTGTAAGCTCTGCAAAGGCCTGAGTCTTAGAATATAGTGTAACGTCTAACTCCTTGCCAGGTGGTAACAGATGTCTGAATGACGTGAAAGCTCCTGTAGTTAACAGCACTTTCCTAGCACGGATGGTGTGGCCTTTATCTGTAGTTAACTTCATCACATTGCTGACAGTTGATTGGTTACATTCGATCACATGATTAATGATGTCGTCAATGATGACACATCCTTGCTGTCGAGCAGCAGTTTGCTGTGCTAATACCTGTTTCCTTCCACTGACGTATCCAGCATGTTTTAACTCAAGTATGGCCTCGTCGTTTGGGCGCATCGACAGATAATCATACCGCTCAGTGAGTTCAGTTTTATCAAGAATGTCAAATTTCTTTCCAAATCTCACTGCAATGTCTTTCATAACTGAAGTGTATTTATGTCCCTCCTTCAGACTAATCATCATAAAGCCAACATCTGTGAAAAAGCGTGTTCCTGCAGAAAACAATTATATAAAATAGTTTCTATAAGATTATGTAATGGTCGCTAAATATTAGGGGAATAACAATCAAACCGCGACTTCTTTCAAGACGCACCATGTACGCTGTATAAACTGAATATCATATTTGTTTATTAAAGTACAAACTAATTTCAACTTGATTTCTGCATTAAATTAACATAAAATATTATACCTTAATATTAAAATATCTTTAAATAATTAGGGGTTTATATTATGATATTATCTATATCATTATCAAATAGATAGATGGAAGAAACAAAAATAAATAGCAAGACATACCAGTTTGTTGTTGAATTCCCTCATATCGTGATATTGATCTGTTATCTAACACAGCCCACACTGAATCTGACCTCATCGTTTTTACTAAACGTCCTTCGTCATAATGAGAAGAACAGATGGTGCGTTCAGGGTTTTCTGCGAGATTCTAAAATGAAATGAATCAATTCAATTCAACGTGCACCCATTGCTATATTTCATATAACATGGCTGGGCCATTTCCACCAAATAGCAGGATGTCAATGTTATAATCTAAGTTGAAATGTCGCCGTTGTCATTTAGAAGGAGCAGTTGAAAACATAAAATCTGCATACAAGTTTTGTAGCGAAAGTTGCATTGATTATATGTAACTTTCCTTATCAGAATCTGAACTGAAACTAGAGATGCTAAAGTATTCCTGTGTAAACTGAATGCAATGTTATTTGACGTTTACAGAACAATCAACACACAATAATTGTTTGCCTCAGCATTGCTAATGCTGTTCATAGAATCAAAATACCGAAATTCACATGCAATTTATATTCGCTATTTTCACTGTATAAGTGAAAATGTTTATTTTCCCAAATCAGTGAAAATAAACTTCACACAAAACAGCCAAACATAAAATAAAGTATTCTAGGTAAAATAAAGTATTTCTTAGTGTTAGATCAAACTGTTTTGAGGATACAAAATAAAACACGATAAACAGACATACAGTCATTCATTCTGTCATTCATGCATTTGTATTGGCTTCCTTTTTAGCTAGGGGCATGAGTGAGACCAACAAATATACGTGGCGAGATGTATAATAAAATAAACATATAATCAACATGACTGCAGCAATGTTACAAGCTCGCACTCTGTGACCTCAAACCTTTGTACAGGTAGCTTTCATTCAATAACCTATGTATGTAACAATGCTGATAATGAGGTGTATATCATGATATGGTGAATAGATATCACAGCATGATGAATAGATGACATACCACGGTGAATATTTATGATAAGGTGAATTGATATCATATCCGATTGTGAAAAGATATAATATTATCTGACGAATGCACACCACAATATATAGATCATATACGATATGAATTGATATCATGGAATACTGTATGAACAATATGGTGAAAGGTGTGATAAATAGTGGATGAATATCATTCAAGTGTTGAAAGATATATTTGATGAACAGGTATATGGTGAATGATGTTTTTGTGGCAGAACATATGTTATAGCATTCAGCGACAGTGTACTACTAAAAGCATAATGGTTGAAGATGTCGTGTTAGGGTGATGACAAACCACAGAGCAGATAAAGAGAATACATAGAGATACTTTACTAATAAACAGGAAAGTCTACATTAGAAATCATGCCGTTCCAATCCTAAGCTCTGGATTTCAATCGGTAAAAATGAGAACTGGATAATATATCAGTATTGAATTGATAAACCAGTATTGGGAATGGATATGATATGGTAAATTAGTATAACAAAATGTGAAAAAATGATATGGTGTAATAATGTAAGGCAGATATCAATTTTCTACCTTTGAACTCTAATTGTGCCCAGTGCATGGGCTTTTAAAATACTGTACTGCTTACCACAGGTTCTTTGGGTCCAATTAAGCAAATTTTAGCAGCTGGTGATATAATAGTTGCATGTCTAGCTGCAGCAGAACCGATAAGACCAGCTCCAACAATACACAAGTCATATACTACTCCATCCATGACTGCAAATCAAAACTCTTTGAAAACTGGAAAATACAATTAAATAACGCTTCAGCACCTCAATATTGAAAGCAATGCACACTCCAGACAACTGTATATTTTTAGAAAATTTAAATTTATATATAGACAAAAACTGGGTATGTTTAACATATATAACGTCTGGGCATTCTATACGTCATTTGCATATTTATCATAAACGGTTTTATTAGGGCACTCTCCTTATAACGAATTCGTTTAACAATATTTTATTTCACCCATGTGTCCGTCATACGTTACTAAATATAAAGTGATAATTAACGACAGGGGGCTGAAGTTATTCGCACAACACGTTTTCCAATTTCATGTTATTTTCATGTATATTACCCGCATTGTATAATACAGCCTTAACGAAAACTTAATTTGACGATCACAAATCATCTGTTTTTTACCTACGACAAGGAAGCCGCAAGAAATGACATTAATAAAACAGAGATAGATAATAAAGAGATAGACAAGAAATGGTCAGTAGCCTATATACAATTTTAAAGACTGAAAGGTCAGACATTTTTATTCTTCTTACCACACACATTAGTTAAAAATAATCAAACTAAAATTTGTTTTCCGGGCCTAACATTATTTAATGCTAGACGACATTCAATAGACAAACATAGTGACTGTCCTATCCATTTTATTTTATTTCTTATTGTTTAATACCTAAACAAACTGAACGCCACATATATGGTCGACTTACACAGACGAGGTGGGACACTACTGGAAATATTCTCTATGCTGGTTTCAACTAACCATTATCCACCTAATAGTATATACATGCACTAATACTTAATATTAAATACGTGTACTATCATAGTATGTAATATCATACCATATGGTAATGGGCAAACAGCCCTTTTTACAATTAACAATAACAGTACTGTTAAACGAGTGAAATCAAATATCATTATTAATTTACTTCCGCATGTTGTGAAATTATGTAAACTTTATATCCTATTAAATATTTTTCTGTAAAAATGTCCATAATGCAATTGATCATGGTACATGCACGTCTGTTTTAGTTTTTACAACACATTGGAGAAGAAATACGTATTCACAAAAACGTGAACACCTCAACACAAAAGTAAGCCTATAGAGGGCGTTGTAGTCTTCAAAGGTCACCTGACATATTAAGTGCGGTTTTAAGTAGTTATAAAAAATAGTTCTTTGCTTGCGCTGATTTTCACACAAATTCATGCTCGGGAATGCTTTTTTATGAATCCCGGACATAATAGCACATTTCAAACAACAAAATACTCCCACGTCAATCAAAACAATTGGATCATATGACGTTGTTGTCCTGAGGTCCTGTGTCCTCTTCATATCTGACTATATAGATTATATAATCACAATTACTGATGTTCGTGTTGCATGCTGGGTAAGAATATGTAGATTACTTGTTATGCAGTATTAGCTGACAGTGAGATTACCTACCCGCACTTCTTGTTCCTTTGTACTTTGATCGAGACTCCTATTAATACATCACCAGCGTTACATCATTTATTATGTAAGGTGACCACTGACGAATACGGCGCCCTCTACAGAATCGCGTTTATTTTCAAATGTTTACGTTTTTCCATTAACACGCATCTATTTCTTTCTGCTCCGATTTGACGTGTTGTGGCAGAACATTGGCCATAAGAGACAATTTTAAAAGTACCAAACCATGTGCAATCACTGTACCTCATTTTAGTTACGAGATTTTTCTCCTGATATAGATACACAATTTCAATAAAAGTACCCCAACCCCCATTTTTATTCATGTATTTTTTTCATTCTATCCTATTTATTCATGTAAATGTACTTTTGTGTGATGTTATTTTAATGGCCCCATGAAAAACCGCCACTACTATATTTTAGATTGGCTGACTGGATAAAAATAAACAAATATCAACAGCTATCCACGTATTTCTGATGTCACAGCAATGTGTTGTTGCAGGGGGTGCATTTATGTGAACTAGTGTTGCATTAACAAACTTTGCACACGAAATCTGATTAACATATTTTATGGCATATATGGTCATATGACCACATTAAAAATGACACTATTGCAGATATCCAGATTCAACCAGATCTGCCATGTCTGATGGTTTTATTATTTATTTATTTATTTATTTATTTATTTATTTATTTATTTATTTATTTATTTATTTATTTATTTATTTATTTATTTATTTATTTATTTATTTATTTATTTTATTTAACCACAACAGTCATATAAGGCCAATAACAGTGGTGTGTTAGTAGACACATTTGTTAAATACAATACAACAGTAAACGAAATTACAAATGGAAAACAATAGACTGAACCTTCTGTTTTAAAGTTGACAATCCCAGATTAAAAAAAAAATGCAGTTTATGTTGTTATTAAAAAACCTAGGCAAACGACTTAAAATCCCGTTCTTAGTGACGTCAATGCGTCCATTTGGTACAATGAAATACGTGTAATATAAACTGATTTCCAACAACTGTACAGTCCTAAGACGAACACGGACACATAAAAACCATATCAGAATAATCTCTGCGTACTGCTAACGAGGCTATATTTAAAGTATTGCACATAATGTCATATTGTGTGTCCATGTTCCAGCCAAATAATAGTGAGGATATCGAATATTTTGGAATGGAAAAGATTATTAAGGGACGACTAAGAAATGATAGGAAAGAATATCTTATTAAATGGGCAGATAAGCCGCATGATCAAAATTCGTGGAAATGTTATGAACATTTAAACGAAAACAAGCAAGATTATCTTTGGAGAAAAATCCAGTCCCCCTGATAGGTTCTGATAGAGCCAACAAAAGAAGGCGGGAGAAATTGATCCATAGCTTAAAAGTATTCTAAAGAGATTAGGTGTAATGAGGCACGACGTTATTTAGACCCTGGGACGCACAACATTCATGACTAATACTAATATTTGACAGGTTCATCCTCATTGATGTTGTTTTTTCTCAATTTGCATAAAGTGAATCAGTGATAAAACCCGTGGTTAAATTATGAAAAGGAGCGGCGCTAATTAATACGGGGAGATATTAAAGTTAGTCGAGCAACAGAATAAATTCTATATGTCTCATATTTCGAGGGATGAGAGAGTGATTCGGGTGTTATTCCCAGAGATAGAGAACCGAAATTCAGACGACGATTGGCAGAAGAGAGGATTGTTAGATTTTGAGGGAAAAGTGTCATTATCTTTATTTGGAACAGCCACATCAATGATATAAACATATTAAAACTATGGGGTGAGAATACCGCCAAAATTAGCTTGGTGTCATTATTTGAACATTGTTTAGTTGTTTGGTCTTTATTTGGAAACTCGTTTGGTTATTATTTGGTCATTATTCGGTTATTTGGTCTTTATTTAAACATTATTTTGTGCTTATTCCATTATTGTGTTATTACTGCAGCATCCTATTGCTATTGTTTCATTATTCCAACTTTATTTCTTAATTATTTCATTATTGTGTAATTGCTACAATATTATTTTGTCATTGTTCATTCTATTACATTCAATTGTCATACGATTCGGTTATTGTCACGTCCAAATGTCTTGACATTCGGTTCGCTTGACTTGCGATTACCTCAACATTCGGTTCGCTTGACTTGCGATTACCTCAACATTCAATTACCTGACCTACATTAGCTGACCCCGCTATACATGTAATATTCAATCCATAGTCCCGGGCCGCCTCCGATAAAGCGTTGCTCATGATGGCAATGTAGCCTTTGTAAAAGTTAGTGGGAATTTCTGAATGATGGCCGTTTCATCAAC